TTAACAGGTTGATGACAACAAGAAGCTGGGTGAATGGGTAGGCCTCTGTAAAATTGACAGAGAGGGAAAGCCCCGTAAAGTGGTTGGCTGCAGTTGCGTTGTTGTTAAGGTGAGTTGATCTTGTTTTTCACCTTCAATTCAGCTTTGGACCACTGACCTTAAAAAATGACTTGCCTTTTTGTTCAGAGGAAGGACTTGATATGACTATTTCTAACAGTGTGAGAAGGGAAGCAACAGAGATCAAGAAAGCAATTGTGGGGAAATGTTTTGAGCTTCTTTATTTGAAATGAAAGTTTTCATAGTGATTTTTAAAAATAATGTACTAATTTTTTTTCCTTTTCAAATTTGAGTCATTTTAAGTGCATCATCAGAAAAAAACATGCTTAAAAAATCCTGAAAGCCAGTATAATTAATTGCATCTGGATTACCTGAATGTGTTTTTCAGAAGTAAAATGCTGGCAATAGTACAGCCATGGTACGAGCCTCAATGACTGAGGTCCTTGAGGTCCCTGAAAATGGCTACATTATATATCATACATTCTATAGTTGGGTTTTGGATGTTATAATAGTTTGAAAGGATTCTTTTTCTTCTGTACAGTTAATTCTTGCTTAGTAAATGTTAGTGAAATGTGAATTCAAAAATGCTTTTCATAAATTTAAAAGTGCTCCTTGATTTCTTTTAGGACTATGGCAAGGAATCTCAGGCCAAAGATGTCATCGAAGAATATTTTAAATGCAAGAAATGAATAAAATAAAAGCCTTGGTCTGATTTGATTTGTTGTATTAGCTGTTATTTTGGATAATTACATGTTACTTGATTTTGCCTGAAAATAGTAACTTTTAATATGTCCATATCTCATTTTTAGGGAGAATTCTTGAAGCATAAGCATAGATCTTTCAGGAAAAGAATTTTGCCACTAATATAAGTCTGAGATTTGTGTACTGAAAATTGTTTTTGAGTGTTGTTTCCCAACACTAGGATTTATTTGACTTAGTAAATTTGGATTTGCTTTCTTCTAGGTTAAAATAGGATCAAGTGAACCTACATTGGAAAAACATGCTTTGATTTAGAATCTGGTCTTGTAATTACCAAATCTTAGTTACCACATCTTAGAGTTGGAGGAACACAAAATTATTTGAATCTAGTAACAGATAGTTATTTAACACAGATCCTGTTTCATACAAATTAGGGATCTATAACAGGATTATGAGGGAGAAACCTTAAATGTGAGTAACTTGTGAAATAGCTCTGGGGCACCACTCATGGTCATTGTATAACTGCCAGTTTGAGGGTGGCAAATTCTTAAAGGGATGAGATGATCTTTTTGTGTTTCACCAACTCTCACCCATATTAATTTCTTGACCTCTTCAAGTAATATTGGTTAGTGCAGTACTTAGGATATTGGTTAAAATTATTTTGGGAGGTTGATTTAAAACATTAGGCTCTTGCCTAGCCCAACACCAGATATGAGAGTAACAAAATTTGTCCTAAAAGTCACAAGATGAGTGAATTTTGTAATTCATCAGGGAAAGGCCCAACCAGAATAAATATATGTGGGCTTTTAAGTTGGGAATGACTGAAGGCTGCCAAAGGAGGGATGAGGCAAGGTGCCAACCTTCAGAATTGTTTTGTGCAACCCTAAATAAAGGGGTGCACCTCCTGCCTTTAATTCTGAGTTGGAAACATGAGTCATGCCTTAATATGACTGAGGAATAGTATTTTCCAAACCTTTTTGGGGTCCCCCCAGCATTGCATCTGAAGAAGGAAGTTTTCTTAGATGAGTCTGGCAGATTAGCATTGTCCCATAAACTTTTTCCTTTTTTTGAGTCAATTTTTTTCCCCCTTCCCTACCTCCCTCCCCAAGACTATAGGCTATACATATACATTCTTATCAAACATTTTCACATTAATGATGTTGTAAGTAAGAATAAGTAAAATAAGTAATAAGTAAATAAGTAAAAAAAACTACTAGGGGGAACCACCAGAAAGGAAACAGCAGAAGAAAAAATAGCAAATAGTATGCTTCAATCTGCATTCAAACTCCACAGTTCCCTCTCTAGATATGGACAGCATCTTCCCATTATGAGGCCCTCAGAGATGTCCTACATCCTTGTATTTCTGAGAGGGGTTAAATCTATCAAAAGTGAGACATCACTCAATGTGGCTATCACTGTATAGGACTTCCCATCTCCACTTGCCTCACTCAGCATCAAACCATACAAAATCTTCCCAGGTTTGTCTGAAGTCTGCCTGCCTATCACTTATAATCACTTATTACTTACTATCACTTATGGTATTCCATTATGTTCACATCACATTCACAGTTATAGCTATCTTTTTCTCTCCATGCTTTTACCCCCTTGTTTATGCCCCTTCCTCTCCTCTTCCCTCCCCGGTAATGTCTTGCCCCTCATTACCACCTCCCTCACTTTTGCCTCCCCTTTCTTTTCCCCTTTCCTTCCTGTTTATAGGGAATTGTTATATTTCTATACCTGATATAACCTGATGTTATTCCCGTAAGCCAAATCTCAGTAAGATTTCAAACAATGCTCATCTCCCTCCCTTTCCCTCTGCTGTAATGGGTTTTTGTTCCTTTTCCTGTGATGTAATTTACCCTTTTCTGCCTCATTTCCTTTTCTCTCAGTACATTTTCTTAGATTACTTCACTTACTTGGATCCAATATATTGAGTCATCTACCCTTGTAGGGATGTGAACAGTTTGCCCTTATCAATAACATTTCTGTCCCATTTAACTTTATATCTCTTGAGTCTTGAATTTGAAGCTCAAATTTTCTGTTGAGCTCTGGTCTTTTTTATCAGGAATTTTGTTGAATATCCATCTCTTCCCCTGAAAGGTAATGTTCCCTTACACTGGGTAGTTGATCCTTGGTTGTAATCCAGGCCCCTTTGCCTTAAGGAATATCATTCCGTACCCCATGCTCTTTTAATGTAGAAGCTGCAAGGGCTTGTGTAATCCTGACTGGTTCCGTGATATTTAAATTGTTTCTGGCTGCTTGCAGTATTTTCTCTCTGACCTGGTAAGTTTGGAATTTGGGTACTATGTTCTTTGGCCTTTTCAGTTTGGGATCTCTTTCAGGAGGTGATCAGTGGATTCTTTCTATGGCTATTTTACCCTCTGGTTCTAGGACCTCAGGGCAGTTTTCCTTTATAAATTGTCTCTCCTGGATCGATTTTCCAGGTCAGTTTTTACCAATGAGGTATTTTACATTTTCATGTATTCATTCTTTTGTTTTTGTTTGATTCTTGCTCTCAGAGTCATTAGCTTCCATTTGCTCAATTCTAATTTTTAACTTTTTTTTCTGTTAGATTTTGTACTTCCCCATTGGGCCAATTGTAGTTTTTAGAGACTAGTTTTCTTCAGTGTACTTTTTCCAATTGGTCAATTGTATTTTTTAAGGACTTGTTTTCTACAGGTAATTTTTGTCCTTTTTCCAAGCTATTGACTCTTTTGCGTACCTCTCATTTCTTTTCCCATTTTTTCTTCTACCTCTCATTTGACTTTAAAATCCTTCTTGAGCTCTTCAAAGAAGGCTTTTTGGGCTTCAGACCAGTTCATATTCCCTTTTGAGTTTCCAGATGTGGGTTTGTTGACAATGTTGTCCTCTTCAGAATTTCTGCCTTGATCTTCACTCTTCCCCTAATCTATTTACATTTCTTTTTGCTCATGGTGTTTGCTTATTTCCTGGCCTTTAAAGAGATTGGGCTCTCCTGCTGGGGAGCAGAGGGCACTGACCCAAGCTTCTTGTGTTGAGAGCCTAGGGCCTGGTCGATGGCTTTGTGTGCTGAAGCCTCCAATGTTGGCAGTTGGATGCTGTAGGGTTCTGGCAGCTTACCTGGTGCTGGGCTGGAAACAGCAATACTGGAACTGTAGGGGTAGGATTGGGTAATGTGGCTCCTGGAGATTTCCTGCTCACCCAGGCCTTTCTTTCCTTTTGCTTTCTTCAGCTCCTTTCAGATGGATGTTGGTGGGGTTTTATCCGCCTGGCCCTTGGACCACTACTTCCCTTAGTTTTGCTGAGGTACTGGGAGAGCTGGTTGGTGTAGAATGCCAAGGCACCTGGTGGTTTTTTGAGCTGGTTTCCACCAGTTCCCCTGCCCTCAGTGAGGCATTCAGGGGTCCAGATGTGCTCCACCGCCTGGGCTTCAGGATCTTCTGGTATGCTGAGGTGGAGCTTTCCACTAGCTTGCCGGGATACCTCCCATTCTGTACTGTTCCCCTTCCCCCAGGATAAGAGTGGCCTTTCCAGTTAATCCCTCAAGCTGCATGGGCTGCCACATCCTACTGAGAGTTCAGCTGTTCCAGTGTTTTTCCTGGGGTGATATTTTCTGGGCTTTCAGGGGTTAATAAGGGAGGGTAAGAGACTCACCTCTTACTCTGCCATCTTGTCTCCTGGAAGTGGAAGTCTTATGTCTTAACTCTGAACTGGAGTATTGCTGTAGTCTCCTAAGGTAGAAGGGTTTGGGATGGAAAGGTAGTAAGTTCAGTTTTGGACAGAGAGACAGTAAAAGGATGGGGTACTACTACCAAACCAACTTCTTTATGACCTCACAACTTCGTTGGTCTGTGAGTGGAGGGAATAAGTCCCAGCTGTTTCTGATTAAGCCCTTAGGGAGGGAAGTAGAAAGGTGTCCATTTGGGAAAAAGATTACTGGCCCTCACAGAGAAGATACCCAAAGGTATAGAATACTTCTATTTAGATTTAAGACGCAGCATCCTGTCCTCTCAGCAGTGTCAGTTCCAGATCCTACCCAAAGGCACAAGAGGCTTCTCTCTGCCTAAACTTCACTTTTTATAAATAAAATACCAAGCTTAAAAAACAAAATGCCTCACTCCCCAAGACAAAATAAATCCAACTGAAAGGATCTTCCTGGGCAGATGAAAGGTGTTTTCCTTCTTACCTTCCTCTCCGTGACTCATGGTATTCACTGTGCAGGACCAACACTAAAATTCTCTGGCTGTGGAATAGACAGACTGGGACATCTTGAAGTCAAAACATATTGTAATGGTCCCTTTTAATTCTCTTGTTTAAATTCTAGTAGTCTACATGCATCCAAGTCTTTCCAGTCTTATTACTGTGGATAAGGCCTATGGACTGTGGTGCTGGGTGATGATACTACTTACTTGATGTGGTTTTGAACGTCTTCATCTTAAAGTTTCTCAAATGATCCTTCAATTCTTCAGGCATGGAAGGTAGGGATTCAAAAAGTTTGACAGGGAAGGTGGAGAGATGGGAAAGGAACTGGGGACAGTAGAGAAGGGTCAAGGAAAGGTGAGGAAAGAATACATTCCAGACATGGTGAACTATCCATGCAAAACAAGGGATGCAGAAGGTGGAATATTGTACATGGAGAATACCCATAGGCCAACTTAACTGAAAGAGTCCGTGTGATCTGCAAATAGAAAGGCAGGCAGGGACCAGGTTATGGAGGGTTTTAAATACCAAACTGAGGATTTTATATTTTGTTCTAGAGGCAATAGGGACATACTAAGGATTTTTGAGTAAGGTATGACAGATTTTAGTAATATAAATTTGGCATATATTCAACAATTCAACAAGCTTTTATTGAGATCTTGCTATGTGGCAGAAATTGTGCTAGGTACTGAGGATGCAAAGACAGAAAAGAAATAGTTCTTGTCCTCAAGGATCTTACCTCCTATTGGGGAAAAACGTATATGAAGATAAGTATACAAAGTATATACAAAATATAGGGTTTCCCTGAAGTCTTTTTTAAGCTATTAAAGCTTAATTAAGGCTTAAGTATAAGTTATTAAAGCCTAAAACTACACTAAGACTTTTGGGACTCCCTGTATATATAGACTTTAGTATGTTATGTCTGGACCCTCTCTGGGCCAGGAAGGCCACATCACCTTCTCAGTTCTCAGGGTTGTCAGGTATCCTGAGGATTTATTAGTCTCTTCTCCACCATTGCCTCAAGCTGCTACCAGTTCTGTTCCTCCTGCTTTTAGAAACCCAGTGACTCACCCCAGTTTCATTTAAACACTTAATATTAGGCATCTTTTACAAAGATTTACAAGAACAAATATATAATGTCTTCCCTAACACTTGAAAGTCATAATACCCCTTATACAACCTTGGTCTATTGTGGGTGGGTGGGAAGTGGGAATTAGGCTTGAAATTGATCTCAGTTGTTTCAGAGCATTGTTCCACCAAAGTTCACATATGGTGGTGGTGTTTCAGGCCTCTCTTTGTCTGGAGTCACAAAGGTCACTCCATGCTCCTTAATATGTTGCTGCTTTCTGCAACACCTGGCCTAGATTCCTAGACTTACATGGCTTGTTTTCCCTGCCTTTCAACTCCACAGGTTGGAGTCTCCTCTCTCTTTACCTACAACAGAGAAGAAGGAGCAAAAGGTCAAGGAGGCCCCATTTTGGGGGGAACCATATGGCCTTGCTGAAGGGTAGCCCTATAGCCATTCCTTCCCCTTTAACCCATGGTCTCTCACCTGATGCTGTGTGGTAAGTGGAATCACCTCTTCCTCAAGAGGTGAAGTCAGCCAAAGCTTGCTGGAGCTGACTTGGGCCCTTTTGAAGACAGTTTCATTTACTCAGCTAATGGAAAAAGCCTTCTCCCAACCGTGTGGTAGGCCAACCAGAACCAGTTTATAGACTATCCATGCATGTACTTCCCTCTTACATCATCACAATTCTAAAAATAGCTACCTATTTTTCTGTACACTGACTGATGGGGTCTGTACATACACTAGATCCCTATGAAAAATATAGGTAGGTACCGCAGAATTTATTATTTGACTTGCTGAAATCTAAGCAAATTATGTCTATGACATTTCCTCTGTCCATCTGTTACTGTACTGATGGATGGAATGCTGGACTTGGAGTCAAAACGACCAATATTCAAATCCTGCCTCCTTGTTTTTAATAGCTGTGTAATCATACATAAATGTGATCGAGGTTCGAGCAACACTTTAAGACCATAAGTCTTTTTTTGGCAATCAGGCTTAAGTGACTTATGTGGGGTCACAAAACTATTAAGTGTCTGAGGCCAGATTTGAACTTAGGTCCTCCTGACTCCAAGGCTGGAGCTCTATTTGCTGTTCCACCTAACAGCCCCAACTGTAAGTCTTAAAGCCTTAACTTGGAATCTATCTGCAGCCTTCGTTCATGGAGGGAGACAGAAATCACATTATTATGGAAACCAGTACTGATCATTCTAATAAATATTTCATAAAATGAAAGGAGGTTAGTCTAGCATGACTTTTTTATTTTTTTCTCAATTACATGTAAAAATAATTTTAAACATTCATTTTTAATAATTTTTGAGTTCCAAATTCCCTTTTTTCCCCTCCCCCCTCCTTGAGAAAGCAAGCACTTTGATATGTTATACATGTTAAGTCATGCAAAACAATTCCATATTAGCCGTATCATGACTTTTAAATGAACTTATGTTAGTCTTTAGTAATCATTGCTTCCTTTTTAAAGTGATCACAAAATGTCTAACTTTAACCTTGTGCTCTGCAATTCTCCTAGAGATTGAAATCAAGTACATAGGCCTACAGTTTTCAGAACTGACTTTTTCCTGCTGCTAATTAGACATTTCACATTTCACCTATAGTGAGCACAATTTGGGCCTTTTGTGATCGAAATGTGATTTTGAGTTCTGCATGGCTCCTTTCTCTGATACTTTTTCCTTGTACCAGCCCATTCCTGGTACTGCTGGTACTGCAACTACAAAAGATCACTTTGATGACTACTGAAGCCACTTCCTTCCTGGCCTAGGAGGACCTCCTGAACTGAAATTCACAAGATTGCTGGGATTACTCTATATCAAAGTTGCTGAACAGTAACCTAGTTGGAAAAAACAGACAAAAAAACATAAGAAAATAGAGGTTGGCCCATCCCAGGTACAAGCTTGCCTAGGTAGGACACTGGGACCGGATTGGGCTAAGTGTTGTTCCAGCTGCCTCCCTCTGCTTTCCCGTCTCATGAACAAAGACGCAGCTCATCCTCATACTTTGAAACTAGAAAGATAGAAGAGCTCTAAGGGTCAGTCATCCTTTTAGTATAGCCACAGACTTCTAGCTCAGTAGCTCATTGAGACACTTCATTATCATATGGTGCAAACACCTGACAATATGACCAAAAGGCAGCTATCAAAGGACATCTGTGCATCTTCTGAAAGGGGAGAAGTCCATTTGTTGACTAGAATGCTGACTGTGCTTTAAGGGATCACCACTAAGGGGTGGCTCCAAGAAGCTGTAGCATGCGCAATGACCACAGCCTGGTAAAACCATCTGGGCAAATAGTCTAAACCAGATTAAGGTTAATCAATAGGATTCAAACCCATCAGTGAGTTAGGGGGATGTTCACCCCAAGCATATGAAGACTTCCCACAGAATGGGTGGAGGAGAGCAACTTGTTCTAATGGCCATGACATTGGCTAATGCAGGCACTGTGGAATGCATAGAACTTGGTCAGACATTTTAGACGCCAAGGTCATCCACTGCCCTGTCATCTTGACTGTTTTTCTTGCCACTAGACTTTGATGACTCTGGAAGAGCGAGTGAGACTAACAACTTGGTGCAAATCTACCTCACTTAAATCCAATTTCACTCACAAGTTAAGACATCATCCCATGCTACCATCACTCCTCATAGAAAATGAAAGACAAACAACTCTGGGGTGTTTTTATATCTATATTTCCTTGTTTTCATCTTTTTTTTGAACATGTGCTTTTTGTAGATGTAAGCTTATCTCACAACCCCTTGTACAATAACACTGATCTAACATTGTCAATATTCCATTTTTGAGAGTCTCATATCCCTTTGTAACAGGCTTCTTTCAGCCGATGGGATCATACCTATATTTTCCTTTGCATTTGTTTTTTATCTCTCTCCCTTAAAATCCATTTTGAAATACATTTCTTTCCCCTTTGTATTTGCAAGAAATCTATTATTGAAAAATGAGCAAGTACCCAAAGTTGACCAATGGACTGCTAGGTGACGGAGTGGCTAGAGTGTTGACGCTGGAGTCAGGAAGACTCATCTTTGTGAGTTCAAATCTGGCCTCAGACACTTACTAGCTATGTGACCTTGGGAAAGTCACTTAACCCTGCTTGCCTCAATTTCCTCCTCTATAAAATGAGCTGGAGAAGGAAATGACAAACCATTCCAATATCTGCCAAGAAAATGGGGTCACAATGAATCAGACATGACTGAGAAATGACTGAACAACAACTGAATGTACTGGGGCATTGTGATAAGTGGTGGGGATACAAGTATAATGAATGGAGCAATCCTTATGTAAGGAGCTTTTATTCTGTCTTGGAGTCAAGAAATATGCATATATATATATATATATATATATGTACATATATAATTCAATAGAAAGAACAGATAAATAAAAAGTAGTGTGATACAGGATAGTTTGAGAGGGAGGCTTCTAGAAGCTGAGGGGAGCAGTAAAGGCTTCTTTAGAAGGTGGTGCTTGAACTGAGACTTGAAGGCAAAGAGGTATTCTATGAGATGGAGGTGAGGAGGGTATGCATTCTATGTACTGAAGACAGCTAATGTAAAGGCAGTAGAGACAGTGGTGGAGTGTTTTGTGTGAGGAACAGAGAAAAGGGCAATTTGTTTGGATCACAGATTGCAAGAGGAGAGAAATGTCCAAATTAGGGCTGGAAAGATGGGTTGGGGCAAGGTGATAAAGGGCTTTAACAGCTAAACAGAGTAGTTTATATTTCATTCTAGGAGCAATAGAAAGCCACTGGAGAAGGGGAATGACATGGCTGATCTTGCTTAAGGAACATCGCTTTGACAGTGGTAGGGAGGATAGACTGAAGTAAGCAAATTGAGGAAAAGACCATGTAGGCTGTTGGAGTAATTAGGTGAGAGGTGATGCAGTCGTTAACTAAACTTGTACTTGAGTGAGTGGGGAGAAGGGTTCTCAATTCATTCAAATCTCTTTGAAAGGCTACCTCCATCCCCAAGATGGATGTAAGTTGGACAATTGTTCTTTTTAGATACGTGTTTTGTTTGTTTTGAAAAGACGGGAGCCAAATAAGGCACAACTTATGAACCTCTCTCTCTCCTACTGGCAATCTTCAAGAAACAACTGAATGACTTTTTTTTTTTTGAAAAAGGAATTGTTTTGTTGGCCTAAACCACTGAGATCCTCTCCAACTTGGAAATTATTTGACTTATCAACTGTGCTTTTTGGCATGTTTTTAGAATTTTTTTTTTAAATTATGAACTTAAATAACAAACACAAACATTCCGATATACAAAGAATAAAAATGGGTTATATATGAAACCATAAAATTTTATATACAGTTTGTTTATATATCTATGCCTATATATTTATATATATCCATCCATCTATCTATTTGAAAGTGAAGTAATCAGAATTTCTATTGTGCCACCCTCTGAACTATTGTTTCTTTTATTCCATGTATTTTTATTTGATTTTATTAATTTTAGTTTTCAACAATCACTTTCATATACTTTTGAGTTTAAAATTTTTCTCCCTCTCTCTCCTTCCTCCTACTCCTCCCTCCCCAAGATGAGTGCAATCAGATATAGGCTTTACATATAGATTTCTATTAAACATATTGTACATTAGTTATGTTGTAAGGAAGAATTAGAACCAATAGGAGGAACCACATCTTCCATGTCTTTTCATTTAAAACAAAAATTAGAATCATTGATATTTTTTATTTTATATCTTTTTTTATTTCTGAAGCCTTGTCCTCTTCCCCACTCAAAGAGCACTTTATTACAATAAAGAATTTTGAAAAAGAGAGAGAAAGAAAAAAAACAGCAGTTTTAACTGACACATTGACCAAGTCTCTCATCATACGCTGTGATCATACTCACAGTTCCCTATCCTCTACAAAGAAGGGAGAGTGGCACAGTCTTGTACCTCTTCTTTGTGACAATCTTAGTATACAGTGTTTACTCTGGATTATTCTTCTATCCATGTATGTTTTTGCAGTCACTGTTTATGTTTTCTTGGTTCTGCTTATTTCACTTTACATCAGTTTGTGTAAGTCTTCCTATATGTCTTCTTTGATTGCTAATTGTTTAATTGAAGCCTTCTGCTTTAATGAGGTAGATGGACAACTCTTGAAGAGTTTTGTTTAGCCTAGCTTCTTGCAGTGAAGGGCAACGTGTGATATGCAAACAATTTTCTGTAAGGCTTTCTAATCAAGGTGGAATTTCTTATTTAAGTAATTATCTTGGGAGAGTAGAAAGGTAAATAGAAACTCAGTTAATTAATCTTTAATTGCTCTTTCTTGCTGCCGATATTAATGGAAATCTTAGTTGTGACACATTTGGAATTCCTGTAATTATCAGAGTTAGAAAAAAAGTGTACTTCCCAGGGGTGTGTGTGTGTGTGTGTGTGTGTGTGTGTGTGTGTGTGTGTGTGTGTTTTGGTGGGGGGAGGGCAGCTAGATGGGGCAGTGGATAGAGTGTTGGGCTGAAGTCGGAAAGACTCATCTT